TAAAAAAAATATCTATATCAAAATTATTTTTTCTCATGATACGAACCCGTCCCATTTGTTGAATATTATACAAACTCTTTCTATTTTATTAATACATTTCAATTAAATCCCTCCGAATTAGTATAACTTTAAAATTATAAATTCTCAAATGACAATAGCATTAAAGAAGCATAAGAGAATAATAATAAAATAAATTATCGTTCCATATTCAAATAAAAAGGACCACTTTAAAATTTTGGTAATAAAAAATTACTAAACAGTTAATCATATGAACTATTAGTAAGATGGAATAAAACTAATTTTTAAGTCAAATTTTAAGAACGAATTAATAAAAAATTTGTATGGTTAAATTTCTTATTGATTATTTTGTTACAATAACTTTGTAATAATCCTTGTCTTTGATAATTTTGTATTAAAAATATTTTTATTATTCATTTTATTCTATAATTTTAATTTCATTTTAACATTTCATCATTTAAATATTAATAATTTTAAATTTTTACAATTATAGAGATATTTAATTACAATGTATATAAAATAGAAGAGAGCTTGTTTAATTTTTAGAAAGTTCGAAAATGTGTAATCAGTCAAAAATTGCAATGTGTTGCTTTTATTAATTTTATTTTCTTAAAAAAATGTTTTTAAGTCAATCATATTAATAAAAGAGGAAGGTTTTGTGTAAGCTTTATAAATAGTAGGTACAAGATTCAAAATTTTATTTTACTGGTTTTTATTATAAATAGAGAATTAAGGGGGGTGTATTGGTTTAGGATTTCGTAGGATTTCCCGAGTACCATCTCGGCCATGGTTGAATAAACAGTTCCCTCCCGAGCACCCTCGTTCGGCCAAGGTTGAATAAACAATTCCCTCCCGAGTACCATCTCGGCCATGGTTGAATAAACAGTTCCCTCCCGAGCACCCTCGTTCGGCCAAGGTTGAATAAATAATTCCCTCCCGAGTACCATCTCGGCCATGGTTGAATAAACAGTTCCCTCCCGAGCACCCTCGTTCGGCCAAGGTTGAATAAACAA